CCCCGCCCCAGCCCGGCCCGCAGCCCCCGGCCCGGCTGCCCGCGCCCGGCCGGCCCAAGGCAGGCAGGAGGCGCTACAAGACCTTCATGATCGACGAGATCCTCTCCAAGGAGACCTGCGACTACTTCGAGAAACTTTCGCTGTACTCCGTGTGCCCGTCGCTCCTGGTCCGGCCCAAGCCGCTGCACTCCTGTGCCGGTAAGCGCGACTGCGGCGGGCGCGGAGCGAGGGGGGCTCGGGCGAGCGGCTCCTGCATCTTCCAGTGCATCCCCCAAACCCTGCCCAAGCGAGCGGCTCCTGCATCTTCCAGTGCATCCCCCCAAACCCCGCCCGAGCGAGCGGCTCCTGCATCTTCCGATGCATCCCCCCAAACCCTGCCCGAACGAGCAGCTCCTGCATCTTCCAGTGCATCCCCCCAAACCCTGCCCAAGCGAGCGGCTCCTGCATCTTCCAGTGCATCCCCCAAACCCTGCCCGAGCGAGCGGCTCCTGCATCTTCCAGTGCATCCCCCAAACCCTGCCCAAGCGAGCGGCTCCTGCATCTTCCAGTGCATCCCCCAAACCCTGCCCGAACGAAGCCCGGCTTTCATACCCATCCCCATAGGAGGGATGGCTCCTACTCCCTGGGTTTGCCAGCGCAGGGATCAGCGTTAGTTACTAGCAGACACCGAGAGCTGTCGGTTAGTTACTGTAGGGAGTGTTAACAGCCTKCATGGGAGAAAAACGCCGCGTCCTTGGCTGTCTTGAAAAAAAGAGATTGGAATATAGAATTGATAATGCAGGTGGCTTACAATTATAAACWTTACTAACACTGTAGCTTTTGCAAACCTACCAATTCTATGCTGTTGAGTAGAAAGTGACAGCCTCACTGACCAATGTATGTGTGACATAAATGTATGCGCTGGTTACTAAAGTGGATAAAAGAGGCCTGTCCCAGTATAAAGGGGTTACTTTTTGTGTGTGTATATGTGTGTCTTTGTACCTGTTATTTTGTGTCGGCTGTCTGGCCAACAGCGACAAGTTACTATCAGGGTTTAGTTACTAGCAGACACCGAGAGCTGTCAGTTAGTTACTAGCAGGGTTTAGTTATTAGCAGTGTGTAATGGTGGGTTCAGCCTCATTGTCTGTGGGGGATTCATTGGAGCCAATGCATAACCTGTGCTCATATAATGAGTTAAGGAGCTCTATAGGAGTCCAGGTCCTGTAGGAATTGTCCTTCAGCTTGTGCCCATTGAAACCTCCAGTGGTTTTTTCTTTACATCTGAGTGCGAAGAAATTAATAGAAATATTGTGAAAAGGAATAAAAAATCTATGGAGGCACAGTTTTTCTACCCTAAATTCTCTTTTTCTTTGAAAGAATGTAAGTTATTTCTAACAGCAAAGATAGGGAAATACTTGTGATGATTTTTCAGACACCACAAATAAGTTCACACAAGCGGCTCTGCCCTGCACGGGCAACACAATGAGCAATTGGGTCTTCACCATGGGCAYTATAAAATTTCACAAGCAGACTGGTCTAATGTGGGCATTTAAAAATCCACATTAAAAGTAAAAATAGTATTCTTAAAATACATTCCAGATTTGCAAAAAAAATTTTTTTTAAATCCCTTTTTCTGGTGAAGCCGGCAGTTTTCCAGATTTTTGTTCTTCCCATAAGGCCGCACTTCCAATGTTGACATATAATGTGTAAAGAGAAATGAGATTATGAAACTGCAACTTAAAAATGCATTTTTCAAAAGATCTATTGGAAAATATTTGTAAAGAATAATAAAAATAATATCTATTTCAAGGTTATAGAGTTCTACTTTCCTTCTTTATMTTTTCTGGAAAAAGTTCATTTTGCATTTGTATTAGGTTGTGTTTGAAAACTCCAGGCCTGTACTTTGGCTTAGGTTTATGTTTTTTTATTGCTGAATATAAATAAGAAGGATCTTTTCAGCTCTTAGCAGAGCTRTGCTGACCGAAAACTTGCTGTTAGGAACTTGCTGTTAGGATATGCTAAGAGTTTGATGAGTAGAGTAAATCCTTGGTCAAAGTATAAATCTTCCTCCAACCTCAATATTTATTTTGTAAATACTAGTTATTWAAGATCTGGGAGGGATTAGAAKAYTGAATCAGAATTAAGACCTMTGATGACCAGCTTTTGGGAAGAAGTTGCATGAACAGTGTGATCCTCCATCAACATTTATTTCTTCCAGCTGATTTGTGTGTGACGTCCCTTGCCTTCCCTAACTAATTGCTGACATATTTTATATAAGAACTTCTTGTTAATCAAGATATTGCTGACAAGGGAATATTTGGGAGCTGATCCCTCGCTACTGCGTAGTGAAATTCAGCKCTTGGCCAAAACGTCCCGAAGGGGTTTGGTGTGTGGCAGTGACACACGGAGCGCACGATTCTGCCAGCAGTTCTCAATCCATCAGGACAAGGAAARAGGCTTTTCTCTCTTTCTGTACAGAAAGAGGAAGAATTAGAAAGTCCCTTTAGCATCMAAAAGGAATATTAAACTGGATATTATCAATGTCCAGAGGCATGTACAACTACCTCGGCATAAAAAAATACAGTCTGAATGTCACCTAATAGATCCTCGGGATTTGGGATGAGCAAAATGCTTCCCAGCAGCTGGTTTGACTCTCACCACCTCCCATGGGAAAATAAAGAGAAATTTTTTAAATACATAGTTCTGGGTCGAGTATAACAAGCATTGTCTTTGCAGCATTGTCTTTGCAAGAGTAAAATATATTCAGTAAATAATCATTAATAATCCTCGTATGATTCAGCAGTGRATTCAGAGTGATGTTAGTGAGTCTCTTGTGGTTACTCTTCAATTAAAGCTTTATTTCTCTTTGTGCCTGGGATCTTTAATGAATTTGCCCTCCAGGTTGTGTTTCTAGCCCAAGCTGTGGCCTGTATGTGTGTCAGGCTGGGTTGTGGATATCTGCCTCTGATGGACTAAGCTTTCTGGAATTGCAGTGCTTGTGAAGTACAGACAGATTTGCTTTTGGGAATAAAACCATTAAAACTGCCACCAAAGTCCACACTTCCAAACTGTCAGATTCTAAGGTGTATAGGCACAATTAAAGTCTTATATATATAGGCAATGGGAATTTTTTTTGAAGCTATGAAAGGAAACTATTGACTAAGAAATGAACAATGCCACAAAAGATGTGAAAGAATTTGAAATATACCCAGTATAAATCTGTCACTAAACTAAACTAAAATTTTAAAACCCACCCACACGCACACACAGAGTGAAAATAAACAAAAAATCCCCCTCCCAAATTTTGGGGGCTAAATGCTGCAGAAAGTTAGCACTGTAGGAATATTGTATGGCATTTAAGTTAATGCCTGAATTTCCTTTACCTCCGAAGTTAATCAGGAAAAGAGTGAGCACTCAGTCTCTTAATGATCTTAGAAAATTAGTCTGAACCTAAACCACAGAGATTTTTGTTACTCTACCATCATAGCTGGGACTTGGGGAGAGTTTGGAACAGAGATGAGTAATGAGTTACTCCAGCTGAATATATCCTCAGTGGCTTTTTCTCAAAGCAGGAATCAGGTTTTGTAGGCGTTTTCATGAGCTAAAGAGTTAATATTTCTTTCATCTTGGGTGAAGTCAGAGAAGGCTGATATGCCTTTATAATTTATTTGGAGCTGAAAGACATAAGACATTGTACGTGTGCAGCGTGTGTGTTTAACAACATCTCTGGTTAAGTGAAGAGAGATTGGAAAATTTTGGTAACCCAATGGAAAAGAGTTTTCCTTTCCGTTTTGATGAATTGCTGAACATTTAACTGAGCGCAGCTGAATTGGAACAAAACAGATTTGTCAAGCAGAGGCAGAAAGAGGTAGAAGAAGTGTTTGGGAATTTTCCCGGGAATCTTGAGGTCAAAGATTGACGTTTAGTTGTGAGGAGCTTTTGTGAGGTCAAATGCAGAGCTCACCAGTGTCTCTGGGGATATTTCCACTGAAGAGAGCTTGGAATAAACCACAACCCAGTTTTTGGTTTTTTTTTAAAGAAAACTGCAATTCCCAGTGAAAAGGCTCCATCATTAGTTTAAAGTTTGGTATATGAACATGTGTTATGGTATTTATTAAGCCAAAAACCCAAGGCTAAACCAATATTAAACCTGTAACGAAATGCTCATCCGGGTACGGAGCCATTATGATTAAAATTTTTAAAACTAGAAATCTTTTCTGATGGTGATTAATGCYACTTTGATTTATGACTTTTGGGCTGTGATGACTGAGTGAAAATACTATTTATCTTGTTTCATTATATTTATATTTTTATGCGCTTTTCATACTGTGTGACAGCTAATTAATTTGTGTAAGTAATGATACTGTTCTATTGCTTGGTTTGTTACTGTGATTGCTAACAGTTGCCTTTTGACCGAGCAGAGGCTTATAGGAATCACTTTCCAAATTGCCTTTATCTAATTTTTAAATTAAAAACATTTATAGGTGAGCCTGTTTCAATTCTAGTTTTGTTTCCTGTATTTTTTATAATCTTGATTTAGCGATAGATATAAAATCCAGTTGCCTTGTTGGTAGTTTTGGATATGATAAAGAATCAAAGGATTCTGTCAGCGTGCGATGTTACTGGGTCAAATTAGAAAATCTTGTTTATCAAAGGAACTACAATAGTTTAAAAATGAAAACCAGGCTGGGGTGTGGAGGGGAATTGTGTCCGATCCCTGGTCTTGGTGGAATTTGTGACATTGTGTATTAATAATCAACAGTATTTCTCTTGGATGGCCTTTTTAAACACTCCAAATGAATTGAGATGGCTGGGTTAAAAATAATCACGTTGCCTTCAGTTGCAGAGTTYAGTTATTTCAGCAAAGTTGGTAGTACAAATTGTTAATTGTCTGTGCCRTGTATTCATTTGTACCAGGCCTTATTCCAGGGCTCATAAAAAGCCCTCAAATTTGAATATATCTTAGTGGTTTATAATTTAAATCCTAATGAGCAGCAGGGTAATTTATGTCTATTCCACGCCAAAGTTTTTTACTAGTCCGTATCTCAGGGATTGTTGCGCTGATTTCTTTTTAGTTGTTCTCCAAGACAAAAATATCYAAATTGCCTTGGATCAGTGTGGCCTTGCTTGTTTTCTAAGAGAATTGTCTACTGAATTATAGAATATTTACCCKTGTTTTAGGAGAATTATGCTGAAGAGGATTCTACTGCTCTATGTAC